CACAATTTAGATCATTTAACCCTATCCGTACGTCGTGTTTTACTATCGTATCCATACGACGTGGGGAACTCTGTGCCACCACTTAACCCTATCCGTACGTCGTGTTTTACTATCGTATCCATAGGACGAGGGGAACTCTGTGCCACCACTTTCAAAGAGGAAATTAACGCGTTAATCCGATCCGTACACTTTGCATAGCAGTCTGTCAAAATGATTTTTTGAGAAATACTGAAAGTTTCAAAGACGTCTTCGTACTAGAAGTATTCTAAAATGTGAAAAACACCACCCGGGGATACAAAATGACCCCAGGGCGTACGGATAAAGTTACGAGGCGGTAGACTCAAAGACTAGTTCAGTCAGTGAGTCAGTCAGTGAGTCAGTCAGTGAGTCAGTCAGTGAAGCTCTTACTAAACTATAAAAATAATTTGTCCGTTAGAACTTTGTAATTGTGAGATAGAGACGTCTCCGTGTTATTGTGTCGGTGAGTTTCTGTCTACTCCAACTCACTGATGTGAGTGGTTGGCGGGTGCTCTGGTGTGGTCTGCTCCTTCTTTCCTATCCAATATTATATCTATCGTCCATATCTCTCCTCGTTCTTTTTTGTGTTTGTTACTGTCTTGTAACACTTCTAATCTTCTGCACTTATATTTCCTTACTGTGTTGCAAGTGCCGTAAAACTCTTACTAAAACAATGTGCGACAAAAAACTCACTGGCGTCTGGCGTGGTTTTTGTATGCCAGGATCTCGTCCACAAGGAGGCGGCCCGCTGGGGCGCCACCACACAGAGCTACATCCAGCTGACCAAGGCCCAGTCACACGTCCGGTCGCAGGTGGGTGCTGTATGTGTCATTAACTCTTTCACTGCCCCCAGGTGGGTGCTGTAGGTGTCGTTAACCCTTTCACTGCCCCCAGGTGGGTGCTGTAGGTGTCGTTAACCCTTTCACTGCCCCCATGTGGGTGCTGTATGTGTCATTAACTCTTTCACTGCCCCCAGGTGGGTGCTGTATGTGTCATTAACTCTTTCACTGCCCCCAGGTGGGTGCTGTAGGTGTCGTTAACCCTTTCACTGCATCGCCAGCGACTGTCCAGAGCCCTTGATTGGATTATGGTGCTGGTCTAGTGATGACGTCCACCAAAGACTCAAAAATGCTTGGATCGCTTTTGGGAACTTAAAAGCTATATATGGAAGTCAACGATCCTCTCATTGAAGACTAAATTTAAAATGTATAATAGAAGTATTTTGGCTGTATTGACGTATGGTTCAGAGATATGGAAAACAAATAAAACAATTATATGAAAATTAAAAAGCTTCCAAACAAAATGTCTACAAAGAATTTTCTTAATAAAATGGAATTATTTTACAAAAGCGATCCTTGCATTTTTGAGTCGTCGGTGGGCTTCGTCAAGGCAGTCTGCAGTTTTGGATATAAAGTTGCCAAGATACTTTAGTAAACTGGTTTCTGCAAGGGGTTCTCCATAAAGAGTTATGGGCGTAGTTTCTGATGATACATTTGTGAGGCAGCGTGGTGGAATCAGGCTCTCGTCAATTTTTGGGCATGAAAAGTTATTGGTATCATCTTAAAGCTTGTCCACTTGTCTTTATTTGGATGAAAAAAATATCAATTTATCTTGAATACAAGTCGAGATATTTGCAAAAGAAGGATGCAGGGGTCACCTGTTTTCAGAGGTAAAATTAGTGAGAAAATTGCAGCCAAAGATTAGTTATTTCGTTAGCTTTAGAGTCTGTGGTCATTTACATTTTTGTGTGCCTTTAATCAACGTTTTTCAGAAAAACTCACACAGAAATGAGTTCTTTAATGTCCATGAAGGGTGTTGAGCGAAAAAACAAAAATTTGATAAAAATTCACCAACATGCGGAAAAATGCAAGTTTCTTCATTTTGATTAATTTGACGAGAGCTTGATTCCATCACGCTGCCTCACAGTTATTATAAGTCACTTTTTCCGCAGCCTTTGCTAGTTTGTCTGTCTTTGGTTGCATTTCATTTACTGTCGTGTTTAAAAGGCAGATGTCCTCTGCAAAATCTAGATCTCCTAAATATGTGCCATCCAATGCCTGTTTCAGTGTATTTACTCTGTCTCATTACAACATCGATCACAATTCCAAAAAGTACAGATGATTATATACAGCCTTGTCTAACATCAGTGTTTGCTTCAAAAGGTGTAGATAGTTCTCCCTCAACTAGGACACAGCAGCTTGCATTGGTATAGAACGATCTTGTACAGTTTCTTACATTGGAATGCCATAAATTGCAACACTTTTCCACATGGTCTATGCTGTCAAAGGCTATTTTGAAGTCCCCAAAGTTCAAGTTTATTCATAAAAATCAATAATGATAAGGCGGATTTGACGAAAATACAAATGAGCAAGCTCGGATTCTACGAAGCCGCTTGCAGGATGAACTGCCCCATGCGACCAATCAGCAGCTTACTTTCATACCAAAAACACGTGTTTTTAGCACTTACACCTGTCTTACCGCGTGTTGGGGTAGGACGGGCGGCCAGCACACGTGTGAATGTGTACGTCACGTGTGAATGTGTGCGTGTGTCTGAGGGGTTGGGGAGAGGGAGTACAAGCAGTCCAAGAGTGGAAGTTCCGTAGAGATACAAACGTGTCACAGTGAATGTTTCCCCCGGACTACTGATCAATATTACAATGATAAGCTTGTCTTGACATAGATCTACGTTTTGAGTTGCGTGCCGGGCTGTGGAATCAAACGCTGCCATATGCTAGACTTCATACAGCAACAGAACTTGTTTGGCAAACTATACATTATAGATGATAGGTGACTCAGGCATGCATTTGAACGAATCGGCCCATTTGCACAGCGTGTGCTTGATAGATTTCGGTGTATTTTCCTGGAGTTTTCCAGCATTTCTTGACAATGACAATGATAATCTTTATTCTTCTGGCAGGGAGAAATTTGTCTTGGTCGTTAACAATGGCAGTAGATGTTACAAAGGTTAGGTCCACTCACGCATGCACTCACAACAAGACAGGACATTAATAAATATATGGCAACCCGCTCCGTAAAACATGCTCTCTCCCTCTGTCTCTCTCTCTCTCTGTCTCTCTCTCTCTCTCTCTCTCTCTCT